CAGGATTATCAAAGACCCCCATCACCCCAGCCACAAACTGTTCTGTCTGCTGCCGTCTGGCAAGCGGTACCGCAGCATCAGGACTAAAACCACCAGATTCAGAGACAGTTTCATCCCACAGGCCATAAAACTGTTAAACACCTGAACTGTTGAAACAACATCCATAACATTCATCTGCTACTTAGTAATTATTTATCTATTTCTCTAATATATCATTCCAATAACTTGCATATAGACTCTTATTGCACTATTTCACTATTTCACTTTTTTAAACTATTTTTCTTTTTGGATTTACTATTTACTATTTACTTGCACTATATTTTTCTGTTTATCTGTGTTATTGTGTTGCACTGTTGGAGGAGCCTGTGACCTAAGATTTTCATCGGCATAACTACACTGTAGCTATGTTCGTATGACAACATAAAGAACCTTGAACCTTCATTTGATTCTTGTCTTAATATTTTCCTTGTCGACGTTGTAAATGGAGCTGTTGTGATGCAACAAGCCTTTCAGAGTTCATCATAGTATCGCAATGAATCAAAGAAAGTAGCAAAGCAAAGGTGTGTCGCGTGTTCAGAACCGTCGACTCAGTTTCTACTTGTGGATCTTGCAGTGAGGATTGTTTGGCTTGTTTTGTGGACATCAAAGTATACAAAGAGTAAAGCTTAACAGAAAAGCATAGTGGGAAGAGTCAATGGAAATTCGTGGGAGGTCTTTTCCTTTCTGCTACAATAATGCAAAAATGTTTGGGGTTTTCAGGTGGGATCAGAGTCAGGTGGTGGATTATTTACCATGTTGGACACTGACTATAGGAGGGGTTGGTTAAGAACACAGTCAGGAGGAGTTGGAGTAGCAAATGGCATGATCTTGGTTTTTGTGTTTCCCGTTTATTTTGAAAAGTTTTCAATTCTTATGCCTTGTCTGGTTTCACTTCCTGTCTTTATGAATTCAGATTATAAATACTGTGTTAAAGCTGTAAAAGTAAGGTGATGATTGACAAATGGAGCAACTTAACAGCAAAAGCATTACAACAGGCGGTGTGTGTTGTGTGGTTTCCCTTGGAAAATACACACACACTCGAGCACACAATCACCACATTTTCTCCGCACTTTGCCTCATAAACATCCTCGTCCCCAATGCTACTCTCTTAAAATGAATTAGCCTAATCCATACGATGAATTAATCTCCGCAAACAATAAGCTGCTGCAAAGACATCCAGGATATCATTGAACAGTTAAGAATCTCCTCTAATGGTGTATGTAACTCAGAATTAGATTTGGGGTCGATGTGACTGATTTTAATAAAGCAGGTCACATATTTACATTATTCATCACCCCCATTTCGTTGTTTTTTTGCCATCCTTCATTCGTTTGTCCCAACTGCTCTTTCATCCTACATTTGTCTGTCAAACTTTGCAGTAGTATGCTAATGTGTCCTCATAAGTCTCAGAATTTCCCAGAATGCACTGTGAACTGTTACCAAGCCGGGTTCTCACTTTGTAAAGCCTGATCAGGTGATTTATTGAGGTAATAAATCCTGTGTGACTCTTCTGTGAACCAGTGAGAAGCAGGTATCCATACTGCAGGCCTATTAGATTAATGTGAGTAATAATGTGTGATTGAAAGACTGTGGCGCCAATTGGGCAGGAAAATGGAGGGGGTGGTTGTGTCGTAAACTACAGCATAAATCACTGTGACCTCAGGACATTTTATTTATTCTACAAGTGGATTCCCTGGTAGTTCCAATAAGACATTAGGGGCTCTGTGTTCCAGTCAAATTGCAAGTAATTGGGAACAGAGTCCCATTTTTAATGCTCAGCGCATCACTGGAGCATGGCTGCACTCATTGAGAGGATTGGGCAATTCCCATTCAAACACAAAAGCAATTGCATCAATTTGAAGATTTGCGGTTTCTGTTTCAGCAGCATTGCGTTGAGTTATTGGGAATAAATCCTACACAATTGTATTATTATGACCACTAAGAAAGGAACAAACAAACGTTGGAAAATATGGGTGGTTAAAGGAACAGTTCAAAGTCTGTAATCTGTTTACAGAAGCAGATGTCTTACATTCACCCAATGTTGGGTGCCAGGCGGTTGTCTGAACCCTGGATGTGACTTTAATACCCAAAGAGATGTATTTCTTATATAGTGGTGCAGGAATGAGTCTTAGTTAGCATTTTAGCCTCTGGTTCTAGTCTTGAATCAATGGTTTTTATAATGCGTTTTTTGGTTAAACAAAAAAAGCCCCCTTGGTTCCGTTGTAATACTTTTCACTGCTCAGACACTACATGTGGAAGACATTTTGAATTGTTGTTAACCTCATACAGTAGATAGTTCTTTATAACAGCAACAATTCCAACATGCATCCTTTTCAGAGTAGTGATGTGTGAGCCTCTGACTGTAAACTAGAAAGTAAACAGCTCCATGTCTGCTGGCTGTCACAGCATCAGTCTGCTCTCTGCTCCACTAACATCAACCTCTGACCTTTGTGCTCCACAAGAACTGTCTACCTCACACTTTCTGACACCTTTTCTCTTTCTACCCTTCTCCCCCACGTCTCCCCTTCACACTCTGCCTCCTTGTTTATCCGCAATCAGCTGACTGTTCAGCTCACATGTCAGCTTGTCTGGCACATGGCCTACATATTAGCACATATATGTGTGTGCAGGAACTGACAAAGGTCAGAGTCAGATCCCTGCAGCAGCCAACATGTCCATCACTACTCACAAGTTCTTCCCAAGCGTCCTTCAGCATACATCCAAACCTCCTCACTGAGATTCTCTATGGAGGAGCTGCTACAAACCTCAGCTGGAAGTGCATAAAAAAAACACAAATAGCCAGAATATGCAAGACAGCATATATATTATTATTATTTTTATTCCATGCAATTTGGCTGACACTTTTATCCAAAGCTATTCACATACAGTACATTTCAATACCGAAGACATAGCTAAACTAGTGAGATGCTGGATTCATAACAGGACCAGACAGACTCATGAGTGAACAGTAAGCAAACACACACGCATCAAACTGGTATTGCTATTAGACATGCCATTGGCAGCAATTTGGGGTTAAGTACCTAGGCCAAGGACACTTGGACACGTTTACTGCATGGACTGGGGATCAAACCTCTGAGCCACTGATTGCGGAACGACCATTTACCCCCCAGCCACAGCCACAATCATTTGTCTAACCCGAACCCTTAAACAGACACTTGTACACATGTAATAAAGTGTAGTAAAAACACTCCTAAAGCTCGCTAATAAACATGCTGCATGCCCTCTTCTGCACACACACACACACACAAATATTGTGAGTATGTCGGAACTACTTCTTGACAAAATATAACCAATAAGCGTAGTTTGCAAAATGTTCAACAAGTTGAATGACTCTGACATTTAATCTAGGAAATGTAGCTGCTTTTCCGACCACAAAGTAGGGTCATGGAGGCTTGATCATGTCTAATAGTTACTATTAGCTCTTTGTGTCGCTTACTGCATCATACAAAGAGTAAAGAATAAGCTAAAGAGGACTGCTCATGATCAGGTTCATATCAGTATTTTGTGTATCTACTGTGTCAAAAAGCTCTTAATTTTTCTCATACTGCCTCAGGCAAGATGGGGGGGGTTTAGTGTGTGGGAGAGAAACCCCCTCTTGAGGGAACACAGGGATTTTAGTCTTTACAGACCATTTACATGCACCAAAACCTATAGAACACACAACATGAAAGGGAAAACCCCAAAAAGCATAATCGGGCCCCTTTAAGTCCATGCTGGACACTCATGAGAGAATCACTGGAGCTAACCGTTGCAAATGTTGCTTTGTTATGTTTGCACCCAGTCTAAGAGGGACATATCTCTGCATTTAAATCTGCCATAAAGTCTTTAATTTATCACTGGCTATAAACCTGATGGGTATGCTTTTCATGTGTTGCACAGGTAGTAATCCTGCCACCATCTTTCCTTTCATTCCCCATTTCATCCTGTATATCATGCTCTCATAGGCTCTTTTATTTATTTCATTCCTCTCTCATCATGTCCTCCTGTACCCTTCTGTTCCATCACCCCCCCCCCCCACCCCTACCAGCTCACAGCCCAAATGCCTCCTTGTTTTCTGTCAGCTGTGAAGGGTGACTGTGTCAGCCCTATTAACAGCAGCAAGATGTGTTTGGTTCCAGCTGAGAATACTGAGCGGTCCACATCAGTAGTCCGGTGCTGTGTGTCCCTGGGGACCGGGCCTATACACACGGTCTACTGAGGCCACCATGATAGAACTGTAATGATTCAATTACTGCAGCAGAACACCATCACACATCACAGCCATGGAGAAGAGGGAGGGGAGACACATATATCATTATATCATTTGTAATGATATTAAACAGAGCTGAACTCTCCCACACATGCAGAGAAGATATCACAAACAAAGTGAAATCTAAATCTAAAAGCTTTGCAAGGCAGAACCACCATCATAGTATAACAACAACAAAAATGAACAAAAATCAACATAACACAAAAATAATTACATAAGAAATATAATTAATCTCAATTTGTAAATACAGAATTGCAAAATATAAACAAAGACCAGTTTGACATGGTAAAAAAAAATGGAAATAAAGCCAATCAAAGTCTTATAATTGATGTTGACCAAAAAGAAAATAGTGATCATTATGAACAATTAACTAATTGTTAGTATAGACACTGCTGACAAATTATGACCATTCTGCATCTGTGATACAGTTCAACTCTGCAATTCTTTTCAGTTTTATTGCTATCTAAACACGATGACAATAAGTGGACTGGCTGAATGATGTCATGGATGCCACCCTATTGAATTACCACCTGAATGATTGTGTGCATTTAAAAAAGCATTCCTGGCTGTGTGGAAATCAGCTGACCAGCTACTGGTTTGCTAAATGAAATGAATTGTTCAAGAATGATGTATATTTAGCTAGATAACAAAACATTGAATACGTTCTGTATCTTTTTTACCTGCTTTCTAGGACCAGTAGCAGTAATAAGTGGTGAGGAAGACTCTGCCAGCCCCCTTCATCACGTGAACCATGGGATTATCAGTCACTGTACTCTGGATGGGGGGCCAGACGCCGTGGTGATTGGGATGACCAGGATCCCCGTCATAGAGAACCCTCAGTACTTCAGACATGGACACAACTGCAACAAACCCGCCACCTGTAAGTACTCACATACACACTGTGCGGGGTTGTAATGTGAAGCATGGCTATGGCTTGCTCTCAGGGGGTCATGACAAATAAATGGGCAGATTTGTTCAAAGGAGTAGATGCCTACAACCAGTGGCGTCACCTGGCCTGGGCATTCGGGGCTTTAGCCCCGGACAATTCTCCCTCAATAATATAATCAGGGGTGCACATAACTGGTACACAGGTACGCATGCGCGGCAAAAATCTGAATTGCATAATGTCACTTGTGTCAATACGCGCCTTTGCGTACCTCAAAACAAAACACATATTTTGTCTACACGTGTTTCTTGTCAACACTCAATGGAGTAAACTACTAGACATGTAAACAAAAACAAAGACATTAAGCAGCAACGTTGCCATTTCACTCCCTGCAAAAGATCTTCGGACTTTCTATGACTGATTGAACTGGGTGCTGGGCGAGCCGCGCAGGACATAACCAACGGACCTGTGAAGCTTTACAGGAGGCAGAGACAGGGCCGCCCCTCCCTACAGGCAGATCACGCAGACTGCGTGGGGCCTCATCTCGCGGAGGGAGCCTCAACTGAGCCGCAAATGCGGCGCAACTATGCGCTTATGCGGCGCAATTAGTGTAGGCGCGGCACAGTTTCGCTGTTAATTTAGCTCTCAACGTGCACCAGATTGATGCTTTTAACTTCAATATTAAAAAGAAAATTCGTCCCGGGGGAACCCCCTGACCCCCCTAGAGGAGGTGAGGACCCCCCTAGAGAATGTTAGGTCCACTCCCCACTTATAAAAATATTACTTTACCCCAGCTTACACCTATATGCCGTGAGCTGATTATCGAGCCTTCATTGTAACAGTCGCGGGTGTACTGTGTGCGAGTGGGGAGTGTTGCAGTAGAACATTCCACTGTAGTGCCCGGTACCTTAATGGGAAACCCTACATGTTTGAGCACCCTCTGTGAAATGTCAAGCTACCCCACAGCACCCCCAAAAGAAAATCTCTGGCGCCGCCACTGTGGGCTAAGCCCCGAATGTTTCCAGGTCCAGGAAACGCCCCTGCCTACGACACATTTTATGTCATAATCCATCTAGAGGTTTGGTTTCCTCATAAAATAGCCAGGAGTTTTTATAAAGTAAGAGTAAAGACATTTTTGAAAAATACATTTCAATTCAAAAACATCTATGGGGGACTACGTTGGAACTGTGATCATGTTGCTGTTAAACTTAAAAAGTCAGATGGAACTGCAAACAAGACTTTTATACTCTCTCCAGAGTGACACGGCTAATAGTATGCCGACCGCTCCAGTGGTACACTGCTCGTGCTTTTACCTGATAAGTGTCCTTACCACTTTTCAAAACATAGTGACGCCCATGGACTTTGAATTTGGTGTAGATAATCTGGATACATGCTGACACTGATATGGAATACTAGTTTAATCCCCCCTCATACTGTACTGTATACACTGTCCCTTTGTCCAACAGAAAGCAAATGTCCCTTTCTCGATTTTGCCTCTGTTCCACTGGCCTCTGCATGGCTAGGTTTTTTCTCACAGAGGTTTTTTTTTATATATTGTTAGCGACGTGTCATTGAAACAAGTGTGAAATTGTGTTGTTAGCAATCCAACACATCATGTCCCACGAGTTGTGGTCATTATGTAGAAGCCTCACATGGTGGCCAAGGTTAGTAACCCTATTACACAACCTTTGTAACATCTCTGTCCTGAGGTCTCTGTTACTCCTGTCCCCCCCGTTCCTTTTATTCCAGTAGTCTCTCTCCCCTCTTTGAGTCTATTGAACACAACAAATCACTTCTTGACTTTACAGCCACATAAATCTTCACAAATCCCCTAGGAGACAACACACACACACACACACACACACACACACACACACACACACACACACACACACACACACACACACACACACACACACACACACACACACACACACACACACACACACACTACTGATGTTGTTGCCAATGGCGATGCTAATCCATCACTAGAGTCACCTTGTGTGATTATTACCAGCTATATATTTCTACTGGTGCTGTGTGTGTGTTTGAGTGTGTGTGTTTGAGTGTGTGTTTCTCCCTGTCATGAGTCTGTAATGATAAAAACATCATCACCTTTGTGAGCTCATGCTCAACTCACTAGTACACACACACAGTTGCCTGCTTACTTAATATTTCTTACATGGACTTCTGATCTTGTGTTTTGAGGGAATCACTTTTATATGCTGTTGTATTTTTCATTTTTTAGAGGACATATGCTCAATGTTCAGGTTCATATTTGTATTTAGTGTCTCTCCTGGGACATGTCTCCATGCTTTAATGTTCAAAAAGCTCTTTATTTGTCTCATACTGCCTGTGCTGCAGCACCTCTTTTCACCCTCTGTCTGAAAAGGTCAGTCACAACAGAGCCGGCCAGCTAACCAATCAGAGCAGACTGGGCTCTGATTGGTTAGCTGGCCGGCTCTGTTGTGACTGGTCAACCAATTAGAGGTGTGTTGGAAATGTCCCGCCGCTTAGCCTATCACGTACAATGTGTTGGAGCACTACCCAATAAAAGCGTGAGTGTAACATAGTGTTAGTCATTATGTTACTGAAGTAAACAAAGGAGTCATCCTATAGTTATTGCACAATAACTATCTGTCTTACTGCTGCTGTACAACGTTTTTAAAGGATCTGCAGTAGACTTATGTCTATTTTTGTAATGCCACAAAATACTGATAAATAATAATAATAATAATAATAACTTTAATTTATATAGCGCCTTTCATTAACCCAAGGTCGCTTAACAAGAAACATATAAGGACAAGACATAAAGACATAAAAACAGGGGGGCAGAAATGGAAGTGTTACATTGCAAGGGGGGAGAAAGTGAGTTACTGTTGGAAGGCTTTGTTGAACAGATGGGTTTTCAGGGTAGATTTGAAGATGTTCAGAGAAGGGGCGTTACGGATTTCAGCAGGGAGGGAGTTCCAGAGGGTGGGGGCAACAACACTGAAGGCACGGTCCCCGAAGGTGCGGAGGCATGAATGGGGACTGGAGATAAAGCCATTTTAGATGTAGTTAAATCCACACAATATAGGAAAAAAGGTACACATTTAATCTGACAAAGCCTTACATACACATCAAACTATCAGGCCATTAAATGCAGTATACAGCTGTTCTATGACACAAGGTTTCTTCTTTTGTCATGTAACTTCCATTCATGTGTTTATAATGCATTAGCAACCACTTGAAGTAAAGATTTGTCAAGTGATGAAAGGTGTTTTGCTCTGCTGCCTCACAGCCTCTGTAGCATGTCTGCTGCTGGAGGATGCCGGTCCCAGAGCTCGTTACAGACCCGCTAATTGCAACCCAGTGGCGGAACGGGCACCTTATACAGCTAACCCTTGTGTTTGTTTGTGTGTGTGTGTGTGTGTGTGTGTGTGTGTGTGTGTGTGTGTGTGTGTGTGTGTGTGTGTGTGTGTGTGTGTGTGTGTGTGTGTGTGTGTGTGTGTGTGTGTGTGTGTGTGTGTGTGTGTGTGTGTGTGTGTGTTGTACATGCCTGACTTGTTTGTATGTGGTTGTGTGTGTATTATGTTTGTTTGTATGTGGTTGTGTGTGTATTATGTATGTTTGTGTGTGCGCAGCCCCCACTGTGATAAAGCCATTGAGCCATGCACAAAGCACTGCCTGCTTCAATGCAGTCCAAATTATACGAGCTAAAGCTGGGTACACTTTATACAGAGTGTTGAAAGTTAAAGGGTCACAGCACTGAAGCTTTAGGAGAGAGCTGCTCGCAGTTTGAGCCTCAGTTCACTGTCATAGGGGCCTGAGGACTGAAATAACAACCACCACATACTTTCATTAGGAATTAAACTCGTCAATCCTACTTCCTGTACAACAGAAAAACAAAACAAAAGACAGGAAGAACCGGTTATAGAAGTTGAGTGGATTTGTTGCTTCAAAAAAGCAACATTTTGTAAATACAAACATTCGTAAAACGCATTGTTTACAGGGATTGGAGGTCAACACAATATACACAACCACCACTGGAATATGAATGCTACAATATGCATAAAGATAAATCTACATGTATGTTATTAGCATTATAATATTAGTGTAGCCTCATCTTTACTGTGCAGAACCGCTGCCTTCAAATATTGATTTGTAAATGAAAGTGTAACATTATGAATGATGATTCAAACTATTTGGAACAGCCATAGTTCAAACATTTCTGATTACTCTAAGGCAGGGGTGTCAAACTCAATTTCATCACGGGCCACATCAGCATTATGGTTGCACTCAAAGGGCCGGTCTTTTGAAAAAGAGAAGTGACGTTTTGAAAAAAAAATCTATTTATGAGAAAAAGGCTAATTCTAAGAAAAAAGGCATATTTGGACAAAAAAAGTCAAATTCTGAGAAAAAGTCAAATTTGAGATGCATTGTGGGACATGTCGTTTATGGGCAACGTGCTTCTGTAAAGTATCATGTAACCGTATAATAAACATATTATATTATTTGCAAGCTCTTGTGGGGCCACATAAAATGAAGTTGCGGGCCGGATTTGGCCCCCGGGCCTTGAGTTTGACACCCCTGCTCTAAGGTGTTAAAAAGTCTGACTCTCAAAATGTATTGAATTTTTTTTTATCTAATTATGTTTCAGACAAATACGTATAAACACAGGCTCCTCTATTGATAGTGCATTCTAGCCTCATAAATGACTTCCATAACTCATTTTCATAAAGGTCAAAAGTTGTACTATGACGTTTTGTGTATAGTCTTTGGCAGCAAGAACTCCTTGTGACATCATATATTTAAGGGGTTAAGTGAAGCTACAAAACAGCAGTTTGATACCATTACAAAATAGTTGGTTAAAGAGTGGACACCAATAATCAGCTGATAAGAAGCAGCAAGAGGAGAGAGAGATAAAGAATTGTGAGTTAATGATGCATAAAGACTGTCTTTATGAATTAATTAATGCTGGGCTTCATATCTGTCTGCGTCCACAGTCTTTTAACCTCTTTGTCAACACTTTGTATTTGTCAGTTTCCTGTTTCAAAGTGACAATGACGCCAAGCACAATGCGTGGGTTGCCAGAAGCAATTATTGTTTTCAGCGTTTTGAAAATGGAACATGTATGCTGTTTTCATTTCTGGAAATGTCTCTCCATTAATGTGGCTGTTAACTCTCTACGTCTTAAACAGATGCAGTTAACTTGATAGCTAACTAAATAGGAAAACAACCTTCTCATTCTGAATGCTCAGATTGGCTGTTTACATCTGCAACTTTGTGAAAATAGCCATCAATGAGCTCACTAACTATGTATAACATTTCATTTAGCTGATGGTTTTATCCAAAGCATCTTATAATAAGTGCATTCAACAAGTAAAAAAGACAATTGTAAGTCAAACCATTGTAATCGCTACTGCATTGGCTTCGATTAAGCCAAACATTTGAATCGTACAGATTTCTTTTTTCTTTGGCCAAGGTGCAGTAGAGACAAGTGGGCTTCAGTTCGCAGTGGAACATGTGTAGACTTTCTGCTGTCCTGGTATATACTCCATTTGGAGCCAGGGTGGCACAAGCGTGTTTAACGATGTCCTGGATGTAGGAAAGGCCTGATACATTACCAGCACGGTGGTCCAGAACAAATTGGAGATGATGGCAGTGATTCAGAGGTGTTGATTCAGAAACGTTCTGAAAAAAGGGCCGAGTCTGGAACAGGTTTGGGAACCTACAAACGTTTGCCATGTACCTACCAAAACTTATCATGGTGTTGGTTGTAATGTTGAATACTTGTGTGGTCTAATTAACATTTCAGTCCCTAAGGGCCACATAGAAAACAACATAGCTTTGTTTGGATGTGTCAATGCCTGAAGCTATATTGTACTTTGAGATAAGTTCAATTCATAACAATCATGTCTCTTTGGGTTTTAAGGAACAGTTAGCTTCTAACACAGGCTCTCTGGAGACACGTGGTTTTAAACCCAAGATTAAAGTTTTAGACATGCAGCAAAGTAACACTGAGGATACATATTACAACATTATGCATTCACAGCCCCACTTTTTTCACCAGCAATTATTCATGCAGAGTTCTGAGGGCTGTGAAGCCTGAAGGCCAGGGGTGACAGCAGCTCCCAGGGCAATGGATTCATTTCAGAAGTCATGTTGGAGAGGACAGTAATTAACCCTCTCTGCTGTCCTTTCTCTGGCCTCCATCCATCATAAGTAGGCATGTTAAGAGATCTTACTCCCAATGCCACAAGGACTACGTGTTTCATATATTTACAATGTGTACAAAAAGTGTGGAATGTACCATATGGGCTGTCCCTTTAGAGCCCGTACTCATCAAACATGCTGCTGTTGGTGGCCTGCAGGGACCTGGGCTAAAAACTGTGTGCTGTATCCAGAGACCCACATTAATTAATGCATTTTTGATGTTATCATATGGGGGCATGTAACACAAATGTGTCACCTAACACAGTCCTAACCTCATTCTGAAATATTAACAGTGTTTCTTATTAGTTTGGGCTATCTAGACTGAAGACTAGTTATCTAATCATAATCAGACACCAACATTAACAACGTTTTAAATATTGACTACTATTTGAAAAGTGTTGTTCATCTAAAGGTGTGACGTGCAGTATAATTCCTTTAATTGCAAATACAGGCATACAATCAGTTATGAACAGTAACCATTCCTTAGGCCTGATTTCTATATTTGTCAGTCTTTCTACAATTCCCCCTATTGGTTGCCTGTATACTTGAACAGAGTCATTCAAAAAATAACCGCCAAACATAGAGCCGTCACTTGCAGAACAATGCTACGGCGTTAGGAACAGTATAGACAGTCAAGACTGCTTTCCAGTGAAAAACTGAATTGTCCTTGGCAATAATTGCTTATTTAGATTTAATCAAATGTGTGCTTTGCCAGAATGCTGCAAATGTGCATCTCAGTATAAAAGGCTTGTACCTTCTCAGGGATTCTTTTGATTTAGATTAAAAAAGTTAGTACAAACATGTTTATATACATGTAACTTATTATAGCAATTTAAGTCCTTAAAGGTTCTACATGCTACCAAACAATGATCAAATATTTGATGTTGCTGAAACTACAACCACCCAGATGTCACCCCGTTATCCTAAACTAGGATCAGCCAGGTCAGAGGCGGGACCTTAGTTTGAAGCTCTTTGTTGAGTTAGCCCGACTTTGGTGTATAGGTGCAATTTAATCATAAATGTTCATATTAAATACAGGGTTTAAACACAGAATTGTAATAAACTGTAATGCAATACATTAGAGTATTGGACACAAAAATGGTAGATTAATGTTATTCTGCCTGCACTTGCTTTAAGCTGACCGGTCAGAGCCCCCCTTGAGCTAACACACTCAATAATATATGTACATCCAACCGTTTATTAGGCATGACAAGAACAAGAAAATGAATGACACAGGACTTAAGAGCTTTGGTGTGTAAGCCAACATGAAAGAGTAAAAGATGGGGGTTCCCTTGATACAGATAAATGCCATTGGCTTCAAAGACTTGATAGTGTAGCCTCTTAGTGGGATGACCCAAAGTAGGGGGCAGGAGGGGGGGGGTAAACTTTATTTTTATAGCCCAATATGAGGGTGTCAATGCACTGATCCACCAGTCGGAAGGTCAGTGGATCAATCCCAGCAGTCAACATATTGAAGTGTCCTTGGGCAATATTCTAAACCCCAAATTGCTCCCGTAGTCATGTCTATGGTATTGAACTGTATGGAATTGGATAAAAGCGCTGCTAAATACATTGTAATGTAACGTAAAATGAACCACCCTCAGTTACATTGATCACAATACCCACTGAACCCCCCCCCCCCCCCCCCCCCTCACCACAGCAAACTAGTCAGACACACAGGATATAGAGTGTTTGCCTCAGCCTGCCATTATCATTCTCCTTTCCTTGTTATAAAAACAAGCAAGAACATTTTCTAACCCAGCGGTTCCCAACCTTTTTCAACTCAACTTTTTGTCTGAGATGGGAATGTCATTTCCTATATGTTATTGTTATGTCCATGTTTGTCTCTTTAGCCTGTACAAAATAAAAAATATATATATTTGGCGGCCCACTTGCAATGCCCCCTAGTGGTCCGCGGCCCACAGGTTGGGAACCGCTGTTCTAACCTATAGCTGAATGCTAATGGATGCTACACCACACAGCCAACATCATACCAAAGAAAACAACAACAAAGGCTTTGGGGAAAGAGCAACAGAAGCCATTCAATCAGACATGAAGGTCAGCCACCCTCCGACAACCTTCCTCAACCCTGACACCTGTCACCTCCATGTGACAGCAAGGCAGTCAAACACTTTTGAAAAGGCTTTTCAACAAGGCAACAAAGCTACAATCAGCCAGAGAACATCAGTCAATGCTGCAGACATGTGCTTTTGTCTTCATGAGGCTGTCATGTGTGTTTGTGCAACTCTGTCCCCAGCAAACAGACTTCATCCATGAACCTGAACAGAGGTGACAGTAGAGAAGGTCATGACAGGAAAGTCAATTGTCCGGCAGATTGTCGGGTTGGTCTAGTAATGAAACATCCCCATCCCAAGATCATGTTAACCTTTTCTTTGAGGTTTTGGACAACAACAAAAAAACGTGTTGATAATTGCTTGTGTCATCTGATGAGTTGTTGAAGGCCTGAGCTTCGCTACGATTTGAGATTCATTCATTTCATTGCAAGTAAACACCAGTGTTCAAGAACTCCCACTTCTCTTACCTTTGGATTTTTCCTCTTACCCATCTGTCTATAAGAAGTCGAGTTTGTGCATCAGCCTCACTGTCAAGCTTTGATCCTGTTCCTCCTGTAGTCCACCATGACCATGAGTAGATCAGTCAAAGTCACATTTATTGTCAATCTTTCAGTTGACAGTGTTAGTGTTAGTGTAGATTGCTAGTCTATGCAATTAGATTATTTGCATAATTAATGTCCCAACAATTGCTGTTCAAAGCGTCTTGCCTTGTTCCTTTGTGGACAGGTTTCATACATAAATATGTACCCAAAGGGAAAAAAGAACACTAACACTGTCAGAGTGAGATAACTTTCCACATGTGCAAACCATAAAAAGAAATCTTGTAAATTGGCAATAATAAAAAGATGGACACTTTTAAAAAGGAGAAACTTTAATGACATAATAAGTAGTGTAAGATGATTAGGAGGTTTCTGTGACATAACCCTAACCCTAGTGGTATTAAGGATCTTTAGTGTGTAGTTTATTAAAGTAGAGCAATCTGGTGCATGTCAGGTTGTTAACACACTGCTCAGCTTGGTTAACCACCTTTTAGCATGAGCTTATTAAACATCCACGTTAGAGAGTGGGTGTACAGTACCATTTAAAAATAATTGTTTAAATGCATGTCATCCAGTCCCTCTTCCTCTGTCCCTCTCAGATGTGCAGCATATTAAACAGAGGGACATCATTCTGAAGAGGGAGCTCGGAGAAGGAGCCTTCGGCAAGGTCTTCCTGGCTGAGTGTTACAACCTGAGCCCCACCAAGGACAAGATGCTGGTCGCTGTAAAGGTAAGAGAAGGAGGCAGTGTGGGTGTTTTTGTGAAGTTAAAGGCTCCATTATTACACTCTTATTCTGCTCTGATATCTCTTTTCATTAACCGTCTCTCCTGGTTCTGTAAAGTAAATCAGTTGGTTTTAAGTGTTGTCTTGAAGATGTGTCATTCAGTTTGAACAGACTTATACAAAGCAAAGTAAATTCATTGAAAACTAAATTCAACAAACAGCGCCCATCAGTCATGTATCACCTACTGACACAAAATACATTCAGGTTTCAGCTGACAAATAATCTTTCCAAAAAACTAGAATGTATTGCCTGTTTAATCGCTGCCTATGCGTCAAGCATTATAAGCAACGTTTTAGCCTGCTCACTAAAGAATGTTGGCCATTTTTTTGTAAATGTGCAGATGCCTTTACAGGCTTCCAATAAGTGCTCGCATAATGATCAAAAGTATATAAAACTGTACACTTCTCACACTCAATGATCTGCATCGTGTTCAAAGAAAGAAATTGCCACAACCAGCCACTGTTGCAGTTGGACCAGTAAATACAGCACTATGCAATTAAAAGGTAAACATATTTTATTTTCAGTATTGAATAAACATACCGCTATACTGGTGTTCAAATGAAGCCACCATTAGTCTTTTGATTAGTTCATTGAGCAGTCTGTAATGATTTCCTACCATAAACTATAACTAGCTAGGTAGCTAACAGTGGGCACAACAGCAGTGTGTAATTTAACAATACCAGGTTGAACAGTGTACAACATGCACTGTATTAACCTGTTACGCACCGCCCCCCCGGTACCGGGCGGATAAACGCGTCATTTGCAGGAAACAACGTCTAAGGAATTTTAATATTTAATAAACTATGAATGTTTTATATCCATGTAACGGGAAGAAACTCAGCTAACTGATCTTTTTTTTTTTAAATCCAAAAAAAAAACACAATGCTAACACTCAGCCTCTGAATTAGCCACGAGCGAAAAAATGTAACCTAACAGTGCACCTAAACTCACTCATAACTCCCTTATTACTTATCCTAGATGCACAGCCAACCCCTCGATTAGCATCTCCTGGAGACACAGAATCTGTGGGTGCCCACCTTAACACTCAGTGATAAACATTTGCGACGCTATAAACGAAAACGTACATCAAAACATGTGGCGCTAGGTAGCTACAAACGCTAACATGGCTTACCTTGGTCAAAACTGGTCTTCAATGGCATTAAAACGATAAAAAAAACGATGCTGCAGTTAATCCATAGGTTAATCCAATGTGTCTGTGTCCTCTTTGAAATGATTTCTGATAATCCATAAGCAATAAAACTGCTTTTTCGTTTCCAAATGTCAGAGCGAGAGATCGCTTCACTCTGGTGCAAACCTGCATGCGGGAAGCCCCCACCGTTTGTTTTCACAACGAGTGTGTGTGGGGGCCTGCCCCTTCGATTCTATTGGCTCTCACGGTCAGAAAGAGGTGTCAACCATCAAAATCGACCAAGGGGGGCCAGAGATATAAAGAAAAAAAACATTTTCACCCAAATCACCTCAGAGGTGGAGTGGTTTTGGCTAAACCTCTCTAAAAAGGACGGACACTATAATTTACAGTTTTTTACTATGTAAAATCTGAATTTTCTTTAAAATAAAAAACATCTATATTGATTCTGACTTTTCTACATCCAACTCACAGGTTTATCATTACTTTGAGAAAAAAGATTATTAATTTAACCCTTTTAGAAGGGAAGATATGGTCATTTGTTCTGGGAATGGCATTTTCGAGCCTGAGACCTGAAAAACAGGCTCAGAGCTTAACAGGTTAAGGAAAGTGTATGAATATAATGGTGATATAGCCCCGCATGTTTTATTAAATAGTCCCGGTTCTCAAGATATATATAAACAACATAAGTAATATCTATGTAAAAAAGAGCTGTTTATTCATCTGTCATACAGACCATACATTAAAGCCGTACTTTTGGGTCCTCTCTGTGCGTCATTAAAGCTTGGTGTGTGTGTGTCACCAACACATTTTTGTGAGTTCACCGGTAACGGGATTGTTGTTAGCATCTGGTGGAGCTAGCTATGCTAACAGATATCATTTTCAACAAGAGTTCTCTCCTGTTGAGTCAGAGTCAGTCAGGAAGTGAGAGAGCTCTGCCTCAGATAACGCTATTGCTCAGGTTAGTGATGTAAAATACTCTTTGAGTAGCTAGTGCAAGTTAGCTCAGTTGTTCTCAAACGTTTTGGCATTGCTGTTCAATTTTGGAGTATACAAATGCAATTAAATCTGAAATATGTGAAGTGTTCCGCACAAGTGAAAAATATAGGAAAGTAAATCTGACGCTAACGCTATGAGAAACGCTGATATGGTTTATACAGCATGGATTGGATTACTATTATGACATATGTTGAAGACATAGAATCAGCTGTTAGTTACAGAGGCGGTTATTAATAGAAACATGGCCGCCACATTGACCTGCAACAGAAAGGTGTTCATTTTACTGAGGATTTAGAGGGATTACAGCTGCAGCCTTTTTAATCCTGCAATTTGTTCCATCTGGCCAACCAGCTCTATCCAACACACACACACACACACACACACACACACACACACACACACACACACACACACCATTTTTATAAGGTGTGTGTTTTCATTCCTGTAATAGTCCTTTTCTGGCACAGCCTTTTTTGTTGTTGGACGATACAAAGACTCAGAAATAATAGCATTAATTAATTAATTACGGTTATTTTAAGACCACTTTATTCCACTTATATAATGACAACAAAATCGCATTAAAAAAGCAAGTACACACTTTCCAATAGCTATGAATACAAATATTTTATTGAGACATAAGAGTTGGATTGTCAAAAGAAATATTATAATATCTTAAAATGACATCTATATATATTTAATATAACCATAATTATACATATCTGTATTTAAACACATTTAATTTATTTTAAACTATACTGTCACAAATCTTTACTTTTTTATTTTACATTATATGTTTACGGTGATTGGTCAACTGCTTAGAGATGTGTTGGAAATGTCCCGCTCCTTAGCATATCACCGAAAATTATGTCAGAGCGATAGCCAACAGCAACGGTGGTTACATAGCAGTGGTGTGGACTCGAGTCACATGACTTGGACTCGAGTCAGACTCGAGTCACCAATTTGATGACTTTGGACTCGACTTGACAAAATCACAAAACACTTGCGACTCGACTTGGACTTGAACACCAATGACTCGGGACTTGAGCCTTCTGACTTGAGGTGACTTGATACTTTAATTCAGGGTCTCCAACACGTCGATCGCGAGCTACCGCTAGAAGAGCAGACTCCCGTCGGGGAGAGCAGAATCTTCAGCCGCTCCTACTCTTGCGGGGGAATCCAACCATGCAGGGAGGGGCGGGACTTTATTTTGCTGGGCCACCATGCGGCCAATCATATGCGAGGACACACTAGGATCATACCATTATGTGAAACCAAAAAAATAAGCAGCATCTGGCTGCATTTCAATGATATTGGAGAAAGCAAAGCTGAGTGCAGGATTTATCAAATGAAAATAACCTTCTTTTTTTGTTGGTAACCACTCAGGACTTATTGCCAGAGGTGGGAGAACTTCAGATCTTGTACTTGAGTAAAAGTAACAGAGTGTAGGAATACTTGGTTACAATAAAAAGTCCTGCATTCAAAATGTTACTCAAGTAAAAGTACAAAAGTATTAGCATCAAAATATAGTTAAAGTACCACCTGCAGAGGGATCTAGATTCGGGTGTTCTTTTCCCCATAAAGACCGCCTCGCTGCACATTATCCCTTGCATAAAGATAGATGTGGGTCCCTTATAACATGTTGTACACAGTGGAAATAAACATTCTGGTTACCTCAACATCAGGGATCTTATTAAACTCCTTCTGAATCAAACCGTCACGGTAGCCTTACCTTACTTATCCCTCTTAAAATAGAAAAAAACATGTTACTTTACCAGCAGAGAGAAAATGGATTATTTAATTATTAATGTGACTAATAAAGAGCGGTTTGATTATTAAGCATTATTCTGTTGATGGATGTAATTACATTTGGTGAAAAGCACATAAGGACTTGTTTAAGACTCGTTTTGTCAAAGTTTAGGACTTGGACTTCACTTGAACTTGCCCATCCTGACTTGAGACTTGACTCGGACTTGAGCGCAAAGACTTGAGACTTACTTGTGACTTGAGTGCAAAGACTTGAGACTTACTTGTGACTTGCAAAACAATGACTTGGTCCCACCTCTGTTACATAGTGATTTTAGCCTTTGCAGACCATTTACATGCATAAAAACCTATATAACATACTACAGGAAATGTGTTCAAATAAAAAATGTCCTCATGACGGTTGCCTGTTTACACATCAGAATATGTTATTTTAAATAGCTATTTGTCTGCCTCATTCTTTTGCCCAAGCCTCTTTTATATTTCACTGTTTTCTCTCGACTCAAATGTTGCCATTAGAGGGAAGCAACATTGTAATGAAGGTTGGTTCAATACAGAGGCACTTTGTTAGCATTACCAATGTTAAATGACACTATAACAGACAGCAGCTCAGTGTATGACCTCCCAGAGTTAACAAGAGCTGAGATGAAGGAAAACAAGAGCAGTGAGGGGAAAAAAGAAGATAAGCGAAGGAGGTGAACAACAAGGTAACCATGGCAGCAGTACTGCTATTAAAGCTATCAACAGTAATCTTAGTGCCATTCACTGAAGAAGAATACGGTGCCTGCTCTCCTCAGTCAGATTGTTTGACCTTTGTTTGTTTGAAGAACCTTTTTGTGATTTTTAAAGAAATTTAAGCACACTGTGTTGTTAGAGGAAGGGCTGAGATGTGTTTGTCTGTTAATACAGTTAGGTCAAAGTGTGATGGGGCTGAATGGAGAAATAAAAAAGGTGATGAAGAAAAACCAAGCAGATTGTCGAAGTGAGAGTGATCATGAGTCTGGAATCTCGGATAGTGATTCAATAATATTTTTATTGAAGTCACTTCTTTGTGAGCAAAATAATGGTGCGTTTACAGCGGACGCAAAGTACATTTTTAGCATGGCATGATGACATGTAAAGTTAATGCAAAGACATTTCAAATCACTCGCAAAGTTCAGCTTTTTCAACACCAATCAGCGTTCCTCATATTTGCACAGAAATTGGAAAAACATTGTTGTGTATAAACCACAGATTGTCTATGGCATGGCAAATAAAGTTGCTACTTTATTTATATCTATATGACGTTATTTTGAGTATGGACGGAGCAGCTACAACGGTAGCTTAGCCTAGAGTGATCTATCCGATCTCTATTCAGAAAACAAAAATGTTAAGTTTTTCTCAAAAATGAATCAAACCTTGGTAACCATATCAATAAATTAAGAGTACACTGTAAAAACTGTTGCTTTGGTAAAACTTAAAAAATATGTGTCAAGCGATTCCAAGCAATTTTAAGAGTTTAGTCAACTTTTGCAATTTTTGAGTTGGTGAAATGTACTTTTTTTAGTTTTCCTCTACTCAAGAATGTGTTACTTTGCTAAAACTTAAAAAATATGTGTCAAGCGATTCCAAGCAATTTTAAGAGTTCAGTCAACTTTTGCAATTTTTGAGTTGGTGAAATGTACTTTTTTTAGTTTTCCTCTACTCAAGAATGTGTTACTTTGCTAAAACTTAAAAAATATGTGTCAAGCGATTCCAAGCAATTTTAATTGTTTAGTCAACTTTTGCAATTTTTTAGTTTTCCTCTACTCAAGAATGTATTACTTTGCTAAAACTTAAAAAATATGTGTCAAGTGGTTCCAAGCAATTATAGGAGTTGGGTAAACTCACTAATGTGATTTTTTCTGCATATGAAAAGATGAGATGAGCCTACAATTAAAAGCCCAGATATTAAGTGTAACCAATGCAAATAACAATCTGCTAAGAACCACACGAGAATAAAGTAAATTATAAAACACAATTGAGTTGCCGGAACCTATATACGACAAACTCTTCCTGATTTCAATCCAACCCTTTAAATATTTGATAGCATTGAAACATTGCAGATTAAACAAATAAATTAAAAAAGGGAACATTATGGACATGTTAATACATTTTATTAAAATGTGATTATTTCAAAACAGTTGTCATAAAAGAGTAACAAGTTTGTTTAAAAGCACAACACATTAACATATGGAGACACATGGTTATTACTTGATGGTTATAACTGCATCTGGCTCTTGGGCAACGTATCACTTCATGCTGTGCATCACGAGCCTGTTGCACTTCGACCTCTGCTGTTCCCTGTAAATACAAACAAAACACTAAATTGAGTACAAATCAGGACACACCATGTGTTTTCCTCAAAACAAAAATCAAATCCGTCTTGAAAACATAACGAGCCAGTTTACATTAGCTGTTAACAGACGGTAACAGAGGTGCTATTCACATGCATTACAAGGGGTTTAAGCCATCAAAAAAGGCTGGTTTGCAAGAAAATGAACCAAATAGTCATGATATTGATATAGTTCATAAAATGTCCAACTACTTCTTTTTAACCCCACCTCATGCTCAGAGATGTATATAAAGTGGCACATGGGTCCTAGGATAAAAAGAACAGACGATTATTTCAACTTTTATCTTGATAAGTGAGAGCGCAGGCCAGTCTACATGAATGCAGGGCAAGGCACGTTTCTGTCCAAAGGTTCCATGATGGAGTCGATAATGTTTTAAAATATCACTTTGAGTGGTGACACTAGTGCTGCATAGTTTACATCTCCATCCCATCTGTGATTCAAAAATTAGAAATGGGTACGTTTACCTGATGCTCATTATATTAGTATGTAAACATAACACGTCTTGAATTAACCTCTGAAACAACAACTCTGACACACTCAAGGGCTTACCTAATGTGAACCTGAAGTCCATAGCAGGAGGCAAAATGTCTTCAAGAGGAGGTGTGACTGTTTTCTGGTGAGGCAAATGAAAGAACAACATATGCGGCTTTCACACCGGCGCTTTTCACTTTCTAGCTCCTCGCGAGAGCTTTTCTGGTTCAGCTCCCGTTTCCCTTTTCAGCTCCCGCTCTGTTCACACTGCCCAGAGCTGCCGCTGCTGCGTCATGACGTCACAGTTTACGTCGCTGATTTTCTCCCACAACAACAACGGGCCGGGGACTGCGTCGGGTCGATGATCGTGTTGCTTTTAATCATACGAAGCCAGATTAAATTAAATAACGACTTCTCCAACCTTATACTTTTCTCCAGAGTGCCGTGGTTCATTGTTTATTAATGTGTTTCAGCGGCATTTACCGACCGCTGCAGTGCTGGCTGCTCTTCCACGGGTGTATTCTCCCATTAGCTCCGGGTTAGCTCACACGGCTCTAAAGTATTCACTGTCTGACTGTCACACAAGCAGCTGATACATATCCCCAGTTCCCCTTAAGTGAATGTGTGTCAGTCTGAATTGACGCTGTTTGGCATCACAACGCTGTTATGAAAGTTTCTCTGGTATAACATGGGTGATGTTAGCATAGCAACCGAAGCTAAACTGACTACTTGCTAAGCCGTTTTCTATAGGCACATTTTACCGGCGTATTTTTCATTATGATTCTACTTCTGATAGTCGGACATGACAACCTGTATAGCCCATGTATCTCCACAATGATCAATAACAGCGAACGGATGGTCAAAGTAAGGTTTCCTGCACGCCTCGACGTAAGAGACGTAAGCGACGCCGCGTCATAGCTCCAAAGCTCTTGCCTCTGGACCGACAATTTTTTGGAGCTGGAAGTGAACCGCATTCCGGAGCTATGACGCGCCGCCGCTGCGGTGTGAACAGGAAAAACCGGCGCTTTTCAGGCTCTAGCTCCCAGCAGGAGCTGGAAAAGCGCCGGTGTGAAAGGGGTAACAGTTACATGATGACAATGTAACAATCATTTCAGTAGAATTCATTAAAACATATTTAATTCAATTAATGGAATCAAACATTAAAACACAAGTATCATTTAAAACGGTATTGTATTTATATACATTTATAAGGATGGCATTGTTAGATACCAGTACAATTCCATGATTCTCTACACAGCAGATCCTAATTACTTCAATATACACTCCTTTATCTCGTTTGCATACTGTCTAATATCTACTTTATGTTGTAGTAAAACATCTCCTTAATAAAACTGTATTTATTGATATTTCTCGCTAAAGACTGCATTTTACTGTACTACATTGAACACATCTTGCTGACGTTATACATGCCTCCTCGCCCAATACACACTTTTACTGAATTGCGCCTGAATGCACCTTAACTGAAATCACCTCCGTCACTTTCTACTGAGAGCTAACGTTAACTCTCCTGCAGATTCCAACATGGATAGCGTTGCATAAGCATGACAAATATAGTTTGCACTTAATTTTGTATAATAACAACTCGATGCTGTAACTGCAGACTATGAGTTTAAATTGGGTACACTAAGATTGTTGAAAGATAATTCATTGCTCACAGTAAAACAAACGGCGAAATACATATAGAGGAATTAATATCAAATAGGCGCATTAGTAACTTACTCTTACATAACCGCTGGGTTATAAAGTAGTAGGGAATAGTTTTAACGGAGGTATTTTACCGCACAACATGCACGGCAGGAGAGCCTCTGAGCCCCGCGGCCGCATCACGGTGCCCGGGCCAACGCTTACAGCGGCACAGGGGAACAGTTTGCGGAGTTGATTCTTAATACGTACTCTTAACTTAACCACTTTTAACAGAATTGCGTCGGTAAGCACTTGATGCAAACTTTGCCCAATAACTTTGCGTGAAGAAATAGACTACATGAGCACGACAGGGCTGAGTCTAACTTTAACAGCAGTAATGGCGCTGGCATGCATTAAAATGTCGATGTTTCGTTCAAAACAGTGAATACAAGAAAAGTAAATAACTTGCTAGTTAAAAAGCAGTAATTAATAACTCAGGTGGCATGCTTACTTGTTTTACGATGGTTTGAGGAGGATCCAACGCAAACACGTGTCCAACTGCTGAAGAACCGCTGCAAAGAGGAACAGGAAGTCTCACACCGCGGTATTCTCGTTTGAGGGCGTGGCATGACCGTGGCGTTGAAAAAAGCATTTTTATTACGTTTTCCAAAACGTCTTTTTAAAGAAAGTTCAGAAAATGTGATATTAATTTACAAATTAATGAGTTCTTAGAACATGTTCTCATTGTTGCTTACGTGTTACTTAATTAAACGCACATTGAAAAAAAACTAATTTAGGGCAAGTAAATTACATAAAAAAATTGAGTTTTGTTGACTTCACCATCGGAACTGTTTTTACAGTGTAGGAATAACATCTTAAGCATAAATCATGGCTCCCCTAGGTATCTTTCTCTCTTTTGGGCCATTCCTGGTTGTAATATTGGCCTTTTAATTAAAAAGTGGGATGTTTTCCAGGCATAAAGACATAAAATAGAAACATCAAAACAACATTATCGTGTGTTTTCGCTCTCTTTGAACAATTCATTGATATATCACTTTCAACTCTCCTTTCTAAAGGTTGCTTTTCTCTTCCCTTCATTTTGTTCCATTTGACTGTCACTAAATTGCAGGTTTTACTGCTACAATTTTGTACAAGTCATATCATGCTTCACTGCAGATGTTGATGTGAAAGTGAGCGATTTGTAATATAACTGAAGGAGGGATAAAGAAAGGAAGGGATCCACTGTAACATGCCCTCTCTTTTCCCCCAGACTCTGAAGGACCCCACTCTTGCAGCCAGGAAGGATTTCCAGCGTGAGGCCGAGCTGCTGACCAACCTCCAGCACGAGCACATCGTGAAGTTCTACGGAGTGTGTGTGGACGGAGACCCTCTCATCATGGTGTTTGAGTACATGAAGCACGGAGATCTCAACAAGTTCCTCAGGTGAGTTCAGACAGGCGACAGTTGGTAGAGGAGGTGTACTGGGAAGTAACACTATGACAGAGAACGCTTGCTAAGAGTAAAACTATCCTAAAGGATTAGTATACCTTTTATCTGGGCACAAAGGTTCCATCTGTAATGTTGAAACCTAGATTTGTCCAAAAATGATGTGAGCATTAGGTAAGGGTATAATGTGCAGCCGCTTATAACACAGCTACCCAATAAATAAACCAACAACTTAATTCAAAATATTGAATACAAAATATTTTATTGATTTTAAAATGAATGATTGCATTCATTCCGCAAGGAAAACATCATTTGTTCCACTGGGTACCAGAGGCTAGAATGGCAACGACAGCATTGTAACTTAAAATTACAGCAGCACTGATGGAGGTTTTCTGTAAATGTCCAAGTCTGTTCACATTTTGTTTTCCATTAACAAGTCCTTAAACACTGCAGAGCCCATACCGTGGCCGTTTCTCAATGTTGAGTATACCTGCTGCAGAGCCACTATTTCAAGTATACTACGTCATCGAGTGGCGCCGAAGGACTGTTTAAATGCATGTTAAATGCCCAGCATTCGGCGCCACTCGTTGACGTAGTATACTTGAAATAGTGGCTCTGCAGCAGGTATACTCGACATTGAGAAACGGCCCTTGTTCCTTTTGGTGTTTACTTCCTGTCTGTCTTCTTCTGCTGTTCCCTTTAGTGTTTACTTCCTGTCTGTCTTCTTCTGCTGTTCCTTTTAGTGTTTACTTATATACTTCCTGTTTCTCATGCTGAATTTTCTGATGTTGTTTAACCTCTTTCCTTCTCCTGCGCTGTTTTACTTTTCTTCACTGGGGACAGTTCAGCCATCATGAATCCAAAGTTTCAAGCTCTCGACAAATATAAAAGTGAATATTTAAAACGTATTCCATGTTATTTACTGATGGATGAAAATTAATGTTCGTTGTCGACAGCATGAATGTTCAAGTATTCAACTAAGCTGTGTAATGCGTCATTAGTGTGAATGCTGTGCCACAGCATTCCACTATAGTACCTCGAATCTTTATTCTTCCCCTTATTATTATTATTTCAACCATACTTTGGCTCTCCATAACTTCAGCTTACTTTCAGCTACAGAAACCATTCAAATATTAATCTATTCAGCCTTTTCAGGAATCGATGGGAAACCTTCAACTTTTTAAAAATATGTTATACTTTTTGAAATATTCAGCTTTTTAAACTCTCTTTTTTAACATGGAAGTCAATGGGAGATGCCTTCAAATCCTCTTTTCCTACACCTTGCGCCAAATGCTACTCCTTCCACATACTTCATTCCAACTTTAAAATGATCACAAGACCTTCAGCTGTTCAAAATTGATATATTGATATTTTTTATATCTTTTACACTTTTTGAGATATTTAACTTAGTTTGAAGCTTGGTAGAGAGGCCTTTTTCAGATTTTAACATTAGTGTGGATGGAGCAGCTCGTTAAGTCTAGAGTGCTTTGATCTCAAAACAGAGTGCAGGAGTGCTTGAAATTCTCCACAAAAAATGTTTTAAACTTGCCATAATTCCCAAACCTTACACTCCTCAGACATATTTTTTCATGAAAAACGTAGGAAAACCTCTCCTAGGTTGGAAAATAAAAAATAATTAAGAAAAAATATTAAACAAAATGCCTCTTGAGGGCGTGAAGAGACAAAAAGTCCACCTACCTCCCAATTGATTCCCATGTTAAATTTTTCCGGAACTTTCTTCAGAACAGAGAGAAGTACACTTTAGACAAACTGCTCCCATCTTCACATTTTACACACAAAACCAAAAAAACAAAAATATCAGTTCATTGGGGTTCCCTGATGCTCACGGTCTGGTAATATTTGTATAGGAGCCATCGTTTTTGAACAGGTGGCAAAATTGTCAGATACAATCCTCAATGCATTCTTAATGGGACTCAGTGCTGCAGTTGGTAAATCGTCATAAGTCGTCACCATGGTAACCTTTGATCTCTGGGTTTACACACACAGGTGTTTGTAAACATTCATTCACTACTACTTACATTTAATATCTTTATTTAACTCCTTCAGCCTAATTTCAGCTACAGAAACCATTCAAATATCAAACTATTCAGCCTTTTCAGCACATGATGGGAAACTTTCAACTTTTTCAAAATATGTTATACTTTTTAAAACATTCAGCTTTTTAAAGTCTTTTTTTAACATGGAAGTCATTGCAATGCATTTGAGCTGTAACAATTAAAACACACACACACACACACACACACACACACACACACTCACTCTCTCTCTTACACACAGACACACAAGGGCGATCAAGAGAAGAGAGAGAGGGCGATCAAGAGAAGAGAGAGAGGGCGACAAGAGAAGAGAGAGAGGGCGATCAAGAGAAGAGAGAGAGGGCGATCAAGAGAAGAGAGAGAGGGCGATAGAAGATTGAGAGGGTGATCAAGAGAAGAGAGAGGGCGATCAAGAGAAGAGAGAGAGTAATGTAACCTCCTAATGTAATGTATAACTCCTATGAAAATGTTCAAAAAAAGCTCAAACTTCACGTGTGCTAACAGTCCAGCCGTGAAGACATCTACGGGACAGTTTTGAGATTTCTTCAAATGTCGTTGCCATGGCAACACAATGCTCACCATGAAACACGGTTTTCTCATAACTTCAGTGAAAATGCTTGAAATGGCCGAAAACTTCACAGGTTTGGTAACGATGCAGCCATCAACACATCTAAGCGTATTATGGGGTGTCATCAAATGCCGTTGCCATGGCGACAGATAATTCACCATCAAGTTAGTTCAAAAGTTTGCAGTTCAAATATTCTGCTGCTTTCCCAAGCCTTTTTACTTTCTTTTCTCATCTTAATACAAATTCATTCACTACTACTTACATCTGATATTTAACTCCTTCAGCCTACTTTCAGCTGCAGAAACCATTCAACTATTACATTATTCAGCTATTTCAGGACATCAAGGCTATACATGTTGTTGTTTATACCTTTTTTTAAACCTTTTCTTTTAAATATTAAGGTTTTTCTGCATTTTTGTAGCTAAAAGCAGCTACCATTAAGCTAATCACATATTCAGCTTTTTCTGCATTTTCAGCTAAATTCAGCCACAAATGTTCACAGTTTACAGCATTCACACGCATTTTCTGCAGGAAATGCATTTTCTAGTTTGTATTATTACTCATATTAAAAGACCTCATGCAACACATTGGTATTAAAGGCTTTAAGGACACTCCCAGTGGTTTTAAACAATCACAAATTCAGTTCCTGCCAATTATGCAATTTAAGCAAGCTGCACTAAAAGCTTCAAATGCATGTTTCCTTCCTTCCAGGGGCCGTTGGTATCAAAATAAATTAGCAAAATCACTAAATGTTAGTTTGAAAAGACTCAAAGTACTGCTGCAATCTCCTAATCCTTCATGGTGGTGCATTTGCATGCTGGAGTGAACATCTAATAACACCTTATTTTTAACAGTGTATCATAACTAAAGATTCTTAATCTACAAAGTAATTAGTAACTACAGATCAATCTAGTGGAGTGAAAAGCACATTGTTGTATCAACCTTAATACAGTGCATAAATGATGACCCGGCTCATGAGACATGACAAAAAAAGGGAGATAAACGCGATATACTCCAAAAAGTGCCAATTTATTAAAGAAAATAAATTATTGCTCAAAAGTATGGAGTGTTTAAATCAGTATTGGATGATAAGTGGAGGGGTGTTGGTACAAGGTGAGGAAACTAAACTAACAGCATGGCCAGAACCAAGCTAAAAAACAAATAAAGTGCCGCTCTTATTGTCTTAACACTTAAAGGAAGTTTGGGGAAGCATGCCACAAGCTCTTTAAACATCTGTGTGTTAGAGCAGCGGTTCTCAAACTGTGGTCCGCGGACCACATACTGCAGGTGGTCCGTGGAAAAAAGCTAAATAAAATCCACTTTTTATTAACAAGGATTTTCGGGGACCACCTCATATGTGACTTGCTCTATCGAAATCAGTCGCATTGACCCGAAGACACATTTTGAGTTGTATACACTGTTGGAAAGAGGAGATTCCTAGCTTTCTAATGATATCAGGCAGTGGGGTAGTGAATGCACCACAAGACACGAGCCTTGTAACCCCTCCCCCGGCCCTGGCGCGAGCGTGGAAATATGATTGGCGGCGATTTCATTTGAACGGGACGGCGCAAAACGAGAAGCATCCGTACCCAAGTACTGTAGACGGAAGGAACGAGGTATTTGCAGTCTACAATGACAGAGAAGAGACTGTCAAGTTTGGCTTTATACTCAGCATTGAATCAAAACGCACTAAAGCTTTGGATCTTAATCAGTTTGTGAGGCGTTTTGCTGAACAGAATGGTAATCGCCGCATCATAACAGTGATTGACAGCTAATAGGAATAATACGATTGTTAATATTATCATATTAATTCAGACAAACATCGATGAGACAGTTAATTAATGTAGCCTACTTATTGCAGCAGTCTGCATAGATTTGGTACCCCTGGTCTAAGAGTGAAACAAACTAATTCAGTTATTGTTCAGTTAAAATGCATTCAATTATGTCTGCCATCTTATATATTTCTATTTAAGGCTTTACTGATGTGCCACAATAATGTCACCTAATGTTATTCAGTTAAAATATCAATATTTTGGCTTTCCAAGTTAACATTGATTGATATGACTGCGATTAAATCAGCATATACCTCTGCCAGGGGATGCCACCCCTCAAAATCTCCTGCCACCCTCTTGCCACCCCATGAATATTTTTTCTAGATCCACCCCTGAGTAGGCTATATTTTTCGTTTCGTTTATTTAATAAGTTAATTTCAGGACAACTTTGGGAATTTCGATTGGGAAAAATCGGCGTTTTAACACTACGTTTATATATGTACTTATTTGTACGGTTTGCATATGAGGTGGTCTGCGAAAATCCTTGATAATAAATAGTGGTCCCCATAAACAAAAAGTTTGAGAACCCCTGTGTTAGAG